GTGAACTACAAACAATCATGCTTAAGCTACATAATCTTTACTTAGGATAATCTCCTTCAGTTACTTCCTTGTAGCTTAACAGAACAATAGAGTAGTGACCTTGGAATGGAGATAACAAATGCCCTAACCTTTGGAATAGAATGGATAGGATTAAAATCAACTGGTATAAATACAGATGTAACAGGAGAATAAAGACAGAACCTGGCTGGAGAACTTGACTAGAGAACCTGCCTAGGCTGCTGATCAACTGAACACTGTCTCCGTGTCATTCCTTCTTCACCAACTCCGTCCATACCTTTGGGAACCCCTGGACCTGCTGGGGCTGAAACCCCAGCATCTGGCGCCCAAACAGGGACCCCTAGGTAAGCCCCTCTGCACTCGGGACTGATAGGACTCCACCGTAGGGTGCTGCAGACACCCCTATGGAGGATAAGTAGGGTAAAGAGGGTGGATAGTACAGAATTTAGATTGAGAAGATGTGCCATACTGAGTCCAAAAGAAAGAAGACTGTATTGATCTTTAGATTAAGAAGATGTACTGTTAGAAAAGCATATGCTTGCTAGCAGAGGAGTTAAGGTTACTCCTAGTCAGACAGAATGTTTTATACAAGAAATATGTCCATGCTTTTCTGAGGAAGGAAATGTAAATGTAAAGGCATGGGAGGAGGTAGGCCCAAGGAGCCTTATCCTTAACCCACTGCAGCTTTTCCACCCCGGGAAAGTGCAGGACTGGCAAGCTCTCCCTGGGGTGATAGATCAGGACTCAGGTAATGGTGGAAAGTGCCAATCCTACTCTTAAAATGAATACAAGAGAGCATTTGGGGTGTTTCTTTTAAATGCCTGCTTTGTATTGAGTAAATGCATTTTACTTAGTTTTAACACACCAAAGTTAGCTTTTAACACAAAAAGAAAAACTGACAATTCCATCAATATAAACCTTTTCTATAAAAAACAAAAAAGGGGGAGAATAATGATATATGTTAGATTTTTTGGAAATATAATGCAGAGGGTTCTACAGCAGCCAAAAGGCATTGGGCCTCCTGTACAATAGCCTCTGCCGACTCAGCCTGGTAGAAGGATACACAAACCAGACAAGAGTTTTACCAGATCTAGTAATGATGTGGGGAAGAGATTCTGTTTTATATCTTTCCAGAAGGAGCAGCCTCTGCCTCCCTCTTGGGTACCATCACGCCTGGGAGGCCGAGTTAGCATACCTGACCAGTGCCCGTCTGTAGCAGATGTGCAGCCCTGAGCTGGAACAACCTGTTCATTGGGAGGATCACATGTGCCTCCTTTTTGTTTGTCCATATGCCCAGCTTTGCCCCACATCTCCTTTCCTTTTTTCTTTTTTTAAATCTGACTACTTGTTTGCTGGTTCCTTGGCCTTTCTCCTTCTCTCCTGAACACAGTGTTTTCTAGAATCTCCCTACCCTACTGTTCTAGGAAAGGCCCCTTCCTTTTCTGCCATGACTGGGGGTGTCTGGTATATGCCCCATATATGGAGTTGTCTTGTGCCAAGAGCCTGACATCCTGGGCTGAGAAAGCCCTGTCCCGGACTCTCCTTTGTCCTGTATTGGCCCCTCTTGCCCTTGTGTCAAGAGGGACCCTCTTCTCACAATCCAATTGCTCACAGCTGTTGCCTGAGCTCTCTGTTCATGCTGAGGTGGAAGCCTCATGGTGGCTGGTACCATGGATCTTTCTCTCACCCAATGGCATGGGCTGGGCCCTCTCTGGAGAAGAAACCTGGGTTCCCCAAGATATGTGATTAATGCCGGGGTCCCGCCAGCAGGCGAGGTTATCCCAAGGCAGGTGCTGGGCGTGGAGGCCACAGGGGCATAGGCTTCCAAGGAGACAGAACTGAACCTCTTGCAGGGGGCCACTGCCTCTCCCTCATTCGCACACCTCACATCACCCTGCTTGGCCTCGGAGGATGTATTTTAACCAAGGTCACCTCTCCAAGAAAGGTTGTTTCCCTAGGTAGGGCTTTTCCCTGAAGTTAGGGAGGGGATAAAACCCCTTAACTAAGTGCCAGGCGGGTAGTTAATCACTTTAACTACAAACAGTCACGCTTAAGCTACATAATCTTTACTCCCTGGAATGGAGATAAGAAACAACCTAACCTTTGCAATAGAAATTGACAGGATTAAAATCAACTGGTATAAATAAGGATGTAACAAGACAATAAACACCAGAACTTTGCTGGAGATCCAGACCAGAACTTGGCTGGAGATCCTGGCTAGAGATCCTGGATAGGCTGCTGATCAACTGAATGCTGTCTCCGTGTCATTCCTTCTTCACCGGCTCCATCCACAC